CTCTCTCTCTCTCTCTCTCTCTCTCTCTCTCTCTCTCTCTCTCTCTCTCTCCTTTCCAAGTGCTATCTATCCTTATTGAACATTTTAAGTCCTTATTCAAAAATGGTGTTAATTGGACATACAGTGAGGTTATTTCTGATTTAAATAAGCTTCTACCCTTAGCGCTGTTATAGAGAAAAAACCCTTACAGAAAACAGTAAGGACAGAAAAACTTACTTTTAATTGTGACCCCAAGAATGATCAATATCTCTATTAAGAGAGACAAGGGCTTCATCTTCTAAGTGCATAGGCAGTGTAACACAGGCAGAACTAGGCGGCTGGCCCGCAAGCTTCTTCTTTTAAGGTTTGAGGGTGGGTCAGGATTTGGTTGCTCAGCAACCATTTCCTCTCTTGGGCCAATGAGCTGCCAGGAAGTTTCTTTCAATCGGAATGAAGGCAACTGCTGAAAGAGCAGGCTGTGTGGGAGGCAAACATACCTAGTCTGCTACTACTTTGGAAGGAGTAGGCTTAAAATAGATAGGAGTTGCTCTCTGAAACTAAAGGAAGAGGCATAAGTCCTATTTGTATATGTTTACACTAATGTTTAGATAATGTTTAGAGTTGCTGAAAGTTCTTATTTTTATGTTACCTCCAGAGGTGTAAGCTGCACTTATGTGAAAACACAATTAAGCACATGACCTGATCTGACAACATCCTTTAATCTAGTATCTCAAGGCTATGGTGGACAAGAAATATATGAACCAAGTCTTTGGTCCTCATCTAGGTGAAAATGTTTATCCTCTGTCCAAGTAAGGAACTACTGAGCTTTTACTGGGACAAAGGCAAAAATCTAAGTCATCAATGACTTAAAAAAAACAAAAGGTGTTTTATTAAACTTTCATTAAAATGTATTCAGAAATGCCTTCTTTACTACCTTAAACAATAGGGACATTTCATAAGTGAGTGCTTTCAAGGTTAGGGCCAGATATCAAAATGAATATTTAGGCAAAAGCATGGCAATATTAAGTATAATGCAAGAAATGGAGATAGTTGAGAAATTATGCCTAAAATATATTTAACTTTTACAGTGTTTCCAGAAACACTTCAGAAACATCTATTTATTATCTTGAATTTACAAGTTTACTCCCTTTATTAGTTTCCCATTGCTGCTGTGATAAATGACCACAAGTTTAGTGGATTAAAACAACAGAAATATATTCTCTTATAGTTTCAGAGATCAGAAGTCTGAAAGAATTCTTACAGGACTAAACTCAAGGGCAGGTCTAGTTCCTTCTGGAGGCTCCAGAAGAGAATCCATTCTTTGCCTGCTAGCTTCCAGCTTTTAGTGGCTGCCCACACTCCTTGGCTTGTGGCCACATCACGTAATCTCTGCTCAGTCATCTCTCTGCCTTCTCCTCTGTAGTCTAAACTCCCTCTGGGTCCCTCTCATAAAGATACTTGTGATTACATTTAGGGCCCACCAAGAAGGTGTAATATCATCATCTCAAGATCCTCAGTCACATCTGCAAAGTGAGATGTGATTTTTGCCAAATGAATTAACATTCACAGGTTTCAGAGATGAGGTTATGGAAATCTTTAGGACCATTGTTCAGTTTACCAGAGTCCCTAATGTCTTTTCCTTTCACCAAGGGACTTCAAAATAGAACTTTCCTAACTTTTGTACTTTAAAATATTACCTAAATATAATTTGTTTAAACTTTAAATATTATCCATTAAACATTCTCCAAATATTTTTTTTCAGTCCCTATTTGGATCCAGAGTTATCAGCATCTTTCAGCAGATGATTTGTCTCCTACTTTAACTGAAATTGAGATAATTTGACCTATCCTTTCCTCAACTTTTTTTTTTTATTTAAAAAATTTTGACTCTCCATTTATTCAGTCTCTTCCTAATTCATCCCAAAATATGAAATGCCCTTCCTATAATCTAAGTCCAAGCCTTCTAGTCTCACTTTTAAATCTATCCACAACTACTTTCTCTGGTATTTCAATGTACCAACCATTTGTTCTCGCTCTTTCTCTCTCTCTCCCCCCCCTCATTCTCTCTGTTTCAGTCTTTTTGTTACCAAGATTCTTCTTAATTTAAAAAGTCTTCATTCCACCTCTCCTAGAAAAAATTTCTCTTGTCTGTGGTATCCTTTCAACTACTATCTCCTCTACTTATCCTTTAGCGTCTAAACATCACAAAAGAATATCCATAATTATTGCTTCCAGTTTGTTGACTCCTACCTAATATTCAACTATTTGTTTTTATTTTTGCTAATTTACATAGACCATAAGTCCACTATTTTTCCTCAGTTCACATCCTACTAAATCTCTGTGAAACATCGACCTTTCTGACCACAAATATCTTTTTGAAAATATGTTATTGGTTTCTCTGAAAATTGAATTGTAATTATTTTTCTACACTCCTGAACACTTCTCATTCTTCTATCACTCCTTCACTCATTCATTCATTCATTCATGTATTGAATATTTACTATATCCTAAATATGAATGGTAACTCTCTTTGAGGTATTCATTAATTTCAGTTTTTAGTTCCTCTTAGTCTTCACATTCAAATTAGGGCCTCCCCAAGGTAAGGTAAACTCCTTTGATCTCATGTATTCTTCCTTAAGTTTTGCTAATATCTCTCTACGGCTGCTCATCTAACTTTTATTCATTATTTTATTCACTTAATAAATATTGAGAGTCCATTATGTACCAGACATTGTGCCATTCTCTGTGGATGATGAGCAAAAAGATATATGTCCTATCCTGAGAGAGTTTATAAGCCCAGAGTGAAAGGTAAATATTAACAAAATAATCACAAAAATAAATGTATAATTACAAACCATAAAAAGTGCTTTATAGGAAAATAAATGAGCACTGAAGGCATGTAAGGGGAAACTGTGTGTAGAAGTCAGGTGAGATCAGAGTCAGGACAGGCTCTGTCAGAAAGTGATGTTTAAGTTGGAGTCTAAAGAATGAAAATGGGTCAAGTAAGCAAATTAGGTCCCACTTATAACAAAAACACATGTGAAAAGACCATGTGGTAAGATTAAGGTGCATTCCAGGAAATGAAAAGCTCTAAGGGCTGGTATGATTGAACTAAAGATTGGGTGGTATAAGATAAAGCAGAATTGGTAGGTGATGGTCACTTTATTCTTAATGATTTAATTTTTATAATAAGACTATATTAGTCAGGTTGCAATAACAAAATGCCATAGATTAGGTAGCCTAAGTAACAGAAATAAATTTTCTCATAATTCTGGAGGCTGGAAATTCAAGATAAGGGTGCCAGCAGGGTTTGGTTTGGGTGAAGACTCTCTTGCTGGTTTCCAGATGGCCACCTTTTCACTGTGGCCATGTTGAGTGGTTCTGGGGAAGGGACCCAGAGAGAGAACTCTTCCTCTTCTTATAAGGCCATAGTCCTCCTGGAATATGGTCCCGCCCTTATGACCTTATTTAATTACCTCCTAAAGACCCTGTTTCCAGATATAATCACATGGGGAGCTAGGGCTCCAACATATGAATTTTGAGGAAACACAATTCAATCCATAGCAAAGGCAAGCAGAAAGTCATTGAATGATTTATAACAGTGAGATGACATTATCACATTTGACAAGATAATTCTAGATGAAGGGTAGAGAATGAATAGAGAAAAAACAAAACAGAACATGGGATCTAGTTAGGAAGTGTTTTGCAGTGGTCCATTTAAATTCAGACTGAGCTTGGGCCGGCTGAGTGGTGGGTTGGTTAAGAGCTGGCTTGAGACGCCAGCTCTGAGCAGCAGGGCCCTGGTTTAGATCCCACATGGGGGCCAGTGACACTGCCCTCTACAGCTAACATGGTGAACAACAGCTCAACCTGGAGCTGGGCTGCCGTGAGTCGCCAGCGATAGCGTAGGCTGCAGCCCCTGCTGCAGTGGGCTGCCATAAGCTACCATGTGTGGCTGGCAGCCAGCATGAACTGCCAAGAGCTGCCGTGAGCAGCCTTCCAGAGGCCAGTGACTGATCCGCCTCACCCGGGAAAAGCGCAATGATAATACCAACATGGGCCAGTGAAGCAACGTCCTCCACAACTAAACTGTAGAACAAAACGACAGCAACTTGTCTTTCCCTTCCCTGATTCCCCAGCGCTGTTCCCCTCCCCCAATTCCCCAATAAAATCTTTAAAAATAAAATAAAATAAATTCTGGCTGAGCTTACTGCAGTGCTATTGGAAAGGAGAGTGATTCAAGAGTTATACAGGAGAAAAAATTGAGAAGGTATAGCAAATTCATTTGAAATGAGAGTGAAGTTATACGAGGTACTAGGGGTGCTGCTTAGGTTTCTCAATTGTTCAACTAAATGGGTGATGGAGTCATTCAAAGAGATAAGGAACAATGGAAACGGTCTAAATATGAGGGAAAGATCAGGAGGTCAGTATGGTATGTGTGTATTTAAGGTATTTTGACACATTAAATATTATTTTGTCAGAGTAATTAATACTAAATGCTGAAGCAAATACTCTCTAAATACCAATGCCTTACCATATTAAGTTTCTTATTTACATCATAGCCTGATGTAGTACTCCTTAGATCTCTAAGATACTCCTCCAAGCAGTGACTCAAGGATCCAAGTTACTTTCCTTCTTGAGGTGATGTTTCTGAGATCATAGTGGAAAGGAAAGAAAGACCATGGATGAGCGCATAGGGGATTTGATGTTCAGGCCTGGACGTGGCATACATAAATTGTGTTCCATAACCCACTCAGGATGTAGTCACATGCCCTATTTCAAGGGAGGTTGGGAAACAGTCTTCTTATGGACCAAGAGAGAGGAAATTGTATTATAATTGTAATAATTGTAATACAAATAATACATAATTGTAAAGATGTGAGCATCTTTGCCATATTTACTGTATACTAGTTACTGTTCTAAGTCCTTTATGTATTTTAACTCATTTGTTCCTCACATCAATCTTATAATGTAGATACTATATTATCATCTACATATAACAGATTAAAAGAAAGCCAAACAAGGTGCAGAGACTTTGGGAAACTTGCCAAGGGTCACATAGTCAATAAGGGTAAATCTGGGATTTGAATCCAGGTGATTTGGCTCAAAATGCCTTTTATCCAGTATGTAACACTGCTTCTTAAAGTTGAGATCCAGTTTATGGTAGCAGATATAGGTCTAAAGCTCAGGAAGAAATTTTTTTCTGGAGAGAATAAATTTGGCAGTCATTGGTGTAACTCAGGATTTCCCAACCTCAGCAGTTATTGACATTTTGGGATAGATAGCTTTTTGTTGTGGGGGGCTGTCCTTTGCAATGTTGGCTGCTTGGCAGCATTCTTGGCCTCTACCCACTAGATGCCAGTAGCATTCTTTCCCCAATTGTAACAACCAAAAATGTCTCCGGACATTGCTAATGTCTCTTGGGGGGCAGGATTGCCCCTGGTTGAGAGTCAATGAAGTCATGACTATGGATGAAATTATTCAAAGGAAAATAGACAAGGGGCTAGTACTGTATCTTAACAAACTCCAAAATGGAATGGTTGAAAAGGAAACTAAGAAAGAGGGAAGGAGAGGGAGAGGGACAGGGAGAGGCAACTCACAAGGATGAAGAATAGTTAAAGTAAAAGAGTGCTGAAAGGAGGAACATGGGGTTAACAGTGTTAAATACTGCTGAGAGATCTTGTGAGAGAAAGAATTACAAATATGCATTTAAGAGCCCCTGAAGGACATTGGTCACCTTAGTAAGAGCTATTATAGTTGATTGATAGGATAGAACCCAGATGAGAGTGAACCAAAGAGCAAAAAGTGAGATGTAAGGAAATTGACACAGCAGGTATTTCCAACCTTTTGGAAAGGAAGAAGCAGTAACTGAAGGGCGTTGTAGAGTTATAGGAGGATTTTTAATTTTTTTTCTAATTTGAGAAAGTTTAAAAGTTGAAGGATGGTTCCAGTTCTTTGAGTTAATATTCGACATAGGATAATCAACAGTGTAATGTTCCTAAGAAACCACAGGTAGAAGGATTGGCCCTAGGTTTGGATAAACACAATATCCCCCTTGTAACTGAAGGAAAAGTGCCTAGTATGATGCATTTTCCCGCAGACACCTTACATTTAGCATTTCTAAATATGAAAATATCTTTCCCACAAAATCTGCAATTTCTCCTGTATTGTTTATTAACAGTATTGCTATTCTCCACCTTAACTAGCTCATGAAGCCCATATCTTCTTTCTCATCCCCATCCTTTTCTGTAAATCTATCCCATTACCAATTTTTATTGATTCTACCTTGGTATTGTAACTTGAATCAGAGCCCTCTTTATTTCGATTGCCAATAAATGAGAGCATATTTTTATTACTAGCTCAAATGTCACTTCCTTCTTGAAGCTTTCTCTATTTCTCTCAGCCAAATAAAATTTTATGTACTTAGCATTTAAATAAAAACAGAAGCAGAGATGATGTAAAAAAAATATTACCTTATTATATTATGAATAATTCTCATGAGAGCATCCTGTTACTCAAAACGTTTCGTTCTTTACAATTCTTAATGGGGCGTCCCCATTTCTTCTTTTTTTCTTTTATTATTAAAAAAATTGTTACAAGTCATTATAAATGACGTTTTAAAAAACCTACTTAAACAAGGTTTTTCACACCTTGCTTAAGTAGAACACATATAACACAGCATCTCAACTGTCAAAATTCACTGAGTCCCCCAAATCAGTCCTGTGGATGGTTTGATATTTAGAAGTGCAATGAATTTAGGGAGGGGGCTACCAAACTTCCCCTAAATTCTAGGTAAATCTACTCTTGTGGTGGACTGTACGGGAACAAGATTTTCAAAACACCAACAGGTTTTTAATTACCCAGAATCAAGCCAGCCCTTTGGACCAGCACCTTGACCTGAAGCAATTTGTGGAGCAATAAAACGATACAGTGACCTGACTCTGGTTAACACTCATTTTAATTTGATTTGCTGTAAGACTTCTGTTTCTAATATTACATTTTTGTCGTCCACTACTTCCAGGTTCTTAAAACAGAACTCCAGTGAAATTTGTAATTGGTACTATAAGGTTGAAGATCCCATTGTGTATGGTACGGAACCATTTCCCTCCCAACCCTTTCGTTTCTTTGGTTATATTTGTCCACCAATAAGAAAGCTTCATGTTATCTGGTAAAATCCGTGCGGACGGGCCAGATATAGTGAGCATGGACAACACATGTTGACTCACGTCTCCCACTTCCACATCTTCCAGTCCCTGAGCCAGCGTTCTCCGGCTCGCTCCTCAGTCACCTGGAGCACCTAGCCTATAAGCCACGCCCTCAGGTCCTTCCTGCGCCGCGAGGCCAGAGGAAGGGCGAGCATCCTTATGCTCCTCCCAGGCGTCCGCTCCTCGTCCCGCCCCCTCGCGAGGCCATCTTCAGCACCCTCATACCCTAGCTCCGCCCCCTGTAGCTCCCCAACGTCCTCGGCGTTGGTCTCGAGCCTGCGCATGCGCGTGCGCCCTGGGGCCGAAGTCGGGGCGCGCGGTGGCTGGAACGCGGAGAGCGGCGGGCGGTACAGCCAATGGGAAGCGGCGCTGGCTAGCGGTGGGGAGGCGGGGCCTGCGCGGGTGTTAGGTTACAGCGAGGCGTGACCTAGTTGACAGGCTCTGAGGTGCTGCTGTGGCGGCGTCCGCGGGGCTGAGGCGTGTAGGAGCCGAAGCCGAACGCGGGCTGAGAGAGGAAAGCGGCGACTGGAGAGCCGCGAGCGGCGCGGGACGCAGAGCCTCTTTCACTTTTTCACTCCCGAGTGCCCCCTCCCACCCCTCCCACTCCATACACACCCTGTTTGCCCGTGAGCCTGGGGAACTTGCAGCTTAAAGCCAGCCACCCCCACAGCAACATGTACCCCAGCAACAAGAAGAAAAAGGTGTGGAGAGAGGAGAAAGGTAACCGGCTTGTCGAGTCTTGGGGGTGCGGGGGGTGGGAGTGGGGTGGGGGCGGGGGTCAGGGTTGTGTGTGCCGCGGCGCCCTCCGCCCGAGCTCCCGCCTCGCGCCAGCCTGGCCGGTGCCGCCTCCCTCATGTGTCCGTGTGTGCACACGCGCTTGCACACTGGTGTGCACGCGCCGCCCCCGGGCACCTGCAGCTCGCTCACGTGTGGGCGCACGCCCCTCTCTGCCGCTTGCCGCGCCCGGTCACCTTCTCCCCAGGCTGGGCTGCTGTTGCCTTACTCGCAGTGTGGACCCGCGCGTGGCAGCCCCCGGCCCGGCATAACTTCCTCAGATCCCCCACCGCCTCTCCAGACCCCTGCTGGGACTTCGGCACGCCTGGCTCGGGTGTCCCACGGACATGTGCCCACCGCGGGTGGGCACGCCCGCTGCAGCTGCAACTGCGCCTCCGCGTCTTGCCGGTCCGCTTCCATTCACTCTTCGACTCTGTCTGGCCCCCTACCCTGTCAGCTGCAGTGTCCCCACCTTCGAATGTTCACCCCTTCTCTAGGTCCCCTACTTCTGTGCCGCAGCGTGACTTTTGAAACCTGGAACTCTAAGGGAAACCTAAAACGAGCGTCTTGTCCGTGGTGATGGGTGCCTTCAGAGAAGTCTGAATGGGCTTTTCTCTCTGCAGTGTTTTTTATATTCCATCCCCATTCATAGTCTGAAGTTGTTCAGAGTAAGACTCGTGAGACTGATGTCACTGAGTCACGACCCCTGAATTTTGTGCATATCAAGGCTCGTCCAAATCAGACTGACAGTGAAACATTTCTATAAGACAGAATTACAGAATTGTGCTATCCAACCCTCTTTTCTATCTTTCCCTCTCTTTTCCTTTGGCATCATGTATAATATTCTAAGGTAAAACTCGAATCTGGAGTTTTTTCTTCTTTTCACACCTTTTAATTCTTTATCGTTTTACAGAAATGTAGCAAAAGTACTTGCATTGCCACCACAAAGATATACTAACTGTGTATGGAGAGACGTCTACTGAAGGTGGTGGAAATCTCTCCAAAGTATCCCATCTTCTTTATAAGAAGAAGGATAAAGGAGTGACTAGATTGAACGTTGATTTCTTGATAATAGCTCCTTAAAACCTGTAGATTTTTATTGCAAGTCCTGGCCTTTGTAAACATGTAGGCAAAACAGTGGACAAGAAAGGGAATGAATGTGGAAAAAGAATCCTCTAAAAATTCTGGTGTCTCAAAACAAATGCTGTTGAGACTAATAGCCTGATATATAAAGTAGTGTAAAATAATTTTGCTTTGTTTTGCAGTAGCAGTTACTTTAGTTTCAGCACACTTCCAACAAGGGTTTACCTTGCAAGCATTAAAAACTCATTTGTGCCCATTTTTATTGATGGTCTTGAAATTTTAATTTCTATTAATAATAATGAAGGCACATTAGTGGAAGACATGGAGATTGTTTTCAATACATGAATCATTTAATGATTACTAAAGAACTATTTTTTTCTCTTGTAATAGATAATGCTCTAAAGTAACGACGTTATAATGGTTCCTTCTTTGAACATCTACAAGTTGAACTGTGCCAAACAGGCATTTTAAAAATATTTAATGTATTCTTTTTTTTTCTTTTGCTTCTAATATTAGGGGAAAATATAACCAAATTAGTATTTTCTAAATAAAGAAGCAAATGCACAATTAAAGAAGGCATTTAACAAAATAAGTTTCTCTTGTCCAAAACTAACCTATTTTTGCGAGAAGTTTAATGTTAAAAGAAGTTATTGAGACTTGAAGACTTTAATATGTTTCTCAGTGTCTTATAAAGGTGTCTATTTTTGGAATAGTTGCTATATATGTGTATGTATGTGTATGTGTGTGTATGTATACACACACATACATATCTATCTGTCTGTCTGTCTATCTATCTATCTATCTATCTCCACCAAGGAGCTAAGGATTTCCAGTACAGTAGTTAGCATTAAAGAAGCTGTTGGGATGAATGACCTTTTCCCTTTTATCATGCTGGAGAGGATGGTGTATTTTTGCAGCTGTTATTTAAATCTGAAGGAGACTTACCCACCTCATTGAAATGTCAAGGCATTGTATAAACATATCTTAACTCAGTACACCATCTAATAAGTAGGTCTGCCTACTCACATGCTTGGTTCACAAAGAAAGGATTTATTGCAAAGGTGAAGCATTCTTTAAGGAAAAGTTTTGTGCAATACCAAAGAAACTATATAGTATATGTATGTGGCCCCCAATAATTTTTATTATTTGAACAAATAAACTAAGGAGTTCCCAAGTCCACATTTGTTAAATAGATGTTATCGATCTAATATTTTGAGCCTTAATTCAAAACCAGTTAATGTGTATTATCATTTCAAGTACTGAAACTTAAATTATCTCATTGTTTTATCTTAATGTCTTATTATTGATCTTGTTTTGCTCTAAGTGTCCACACTTAAACTTTGAAATAAATAGAATGATAGAGGCCAAATTGTATTCCCCTATGTACCTTCTGACATATACTAAAACTGTAGTTGGTTCATATATTTCAACATGATCAATGATATTCAGTATTTCCATATTAGTGATGTGTGCTTTTTAAGTAGTGCTTTGGTAAGTGCTAGGCATCTTTTTTCCTCCTCTGTGTGATTATTCCAAACCTATCATTCCCTTCAAGCTTCCTATTCCATCAAAACCCCATCCTTCTATAGTAAACAGATGACATTGCCTTTTAATTGACAGAGAAAATACATGTCATATAACATGAACAGCCCTAACATCTTCCTCCATAGTCTTATCTGTCTGTATCTTTACATGTGCTTTGTCCTTTCAGCTTTGTTTCCATCTTAGAGGAAGCTCTTTTCTTTTTTATTTCTAACCTCTCTGTTTGTGCTATTTATCTCATCTCCTGAATTCTCTGCGATCTTGTGCTATCATTTATTCCCTTTTAGGGGTGTGATCAAACAATACAATAAATGTTTAAATAAAAAAAATAATTACAGTAAAAGACACATTACAATTAATTCCCCTTAAAATACTCCTTTTTGCTTCGAACACACTTATCCCATTATTTTTGCCACTTTCTGAAGCAGTTCTGGAAGTCCTCTTGAGTGAGTGTCTTTAGTTGTGCTGTCATGGCTGCCTTGATGTCCTGAATCATTTTGACTTTGGGGAAGAGCCAGAACTTGCACGGTGCCAGATCCCATGAGTAAGGTAGATGAGGACACACTGTAATGTTTTTATTTGACAGAAATTGCCATACACCAGATGTGATGTGTGACACGGAGTGTTATCATGATGGAGGATGATTTACGGCACACTTTAAAACACATCTTCTCTCAGCCGTACCTCACACCCAACTGACTGCACTGAACAAGTTGAGACTTGTCACACATTGTATAAGGTTCGATGCTCTGCTTCCCGTGTTAAAGACCCCTACCTTTCTGTTGGATGGCACTCAGCAGTAGCATTAGCTCATATTTTGTGATCACAACGGAAAAGCTCCGTGTCATACATTGTTTCTGGTACGGTAATTTCTGTCAAACAATGTGACAGTGTGTTCTTATCCACATTATTCACCGGATCTGGCACCATGCGACTTCTGGCTCTTCCCCAAAGTCAAAATGACCATGAAAGGTAAACGTTTTGAATCAATTCAGGACTTCAAGGTAGCCAAGACAGCGCAACTAAAGACACTCATGAAAGAGGACTTTTAAAACTGCTTCAGAAAGAGGCAAGAATGGTGGGATAAGCGTTTTCGAAGTGAAGGGAGTATTTTGAGAGGGATTAATGCCAATGTGTCTTTTACTATAATAAATTTTTTTAAATTCAAACGTTCACCGTATTTCTTGATCACTCTGCAGTATGATTGATATCTCAGTGTCTTCAGGTTCCTCTCCTCAGCCTATAACAATGCTCAAGTCTCTTCTACTCTCAAGCTGTCCTCCTTCCACAGGATTTCACCTTAGAGTTGCTGTTCTCTCTTTCTTTCCCTCCATCTCTCATAGCCTCCTGGATCTCAATTAAATTCTAATGAAACTAATATTTCCAAAGTCATTCAGTAATAATCATGATGATGGTACTAATATAAAAATAATTACAATTTGAGTTCTTCTTGTGTGTTCAGCACTATTCTAAGTACCTTACATGGGTTATCTCATTTAATTCTCTCAACAACCCTGTGAGGTTGTGTACTGTAGAGACAAGAGCTTTGAACACGATTTTCCTGGGTTTAAATCCTAGTTGTACTGCTTACTATCTGTGGAACCTTAGGTAAGTTATTTAACCTCTTTGTTTTAGTTGTCTAATATAGAAGTTGAGAATAATACCTACCAACCTACCTCAACAAGAAACTGAGACATATAAAGAACTTAAGTAACCTGAGATCACATAGATTTGCATGATTTGGGATTAGAACGCAGACAGTTCTGTTAACCACATTGCTCTCTTTTCAGTGCTGTTGTTGGTGACTCAGTTGATAAAACTAATGGCTTATTAATTTTTGTTCTTCCTGATCTTCCTGTAACAATTGATAATATTTCTCTTTTGCTTTAAAACTCTTTTCACATCACTGGAACTTTGATTCATCTTGTACTCCAGTGGCATCAAGCTTTATTTCATTTTTCTCTTCTTCATGTCTACTCTATAAATGTTACTTTTATTTATTTATTTTTAGCAGAGCCATCCTGCCACCTTTTGGCAGCTCAGCGGCAACTAAGCTTGGGCCAGGCATCCAACCGCTGTTGCTCAGAACTCGCACTCTTGCGCAAGCTCTTAACCAACTGAGCCCGCGGCTGGCCCCTAAATGTTACTTTTTGAGGTTTACTCCCCTCTCTTACCCTTTTCTATGAACTTCCTATAGTACAGTAAGTTTAGGTTATGATTTCTAAAATCTCTAGGCTAGACCTCACGCCTGAGTTAATCATTCTTGATTTCAACTTGAATGCCCTGTAGGCATCTGAAATTCAGTTGACCCTTGAGTATTGTAGTAGTAGTGTGATTTGACTATATCACATTTAATTAAAATAAGTTTTTTTTTTCTTTCTATCTACTAATGTGGCTGAAGAAAAGCCAGTTCTAGGAGTGGGGGAAATGTTAGTTCACTGTTTCTTGTTCACTTGTGCTTACATTAATACTTTCTGCAGTTTATTTCTGTGGAAGAATCTTTTAAAGTGATTATTGTGTGAGGATTAGATTGCCTAAAACTAGATACTGTCCTTAAATCCATTCACCTAAACTATAATGCCTTGTAATATGCTGAAAGAGAATTGGAGAGTGAGAATATGTCCTTTGGTAAAGCATATGATACGTGACGGCTGACATACAGAATGAGTGAGGATGCCAGCGTCAATTTATGTATTGAATATTAGTAAATCTTAATTACTTCCTTATTTCTTTAGATTAAAAATATAGAAAGAATTTCATACATGTTTTTCTGCTATATCTTAGTGAATCATTTTATGTACCTTCTGGGATATGCATAATCAACTTTGAATAGCTCATCATGGTCTACAAGTTCCTATAAATTTTTGTTTTAATTTGTTTCCAGCTACTTTTCACTTCTGTGGTCACTTTCCTTTTCATAGCTTATCTTGCAGCTTCGTTAACTATTCATATCTCCCTATCTTTATTTGCATTGCTTTATTAGTCTGAAGTAGCCTTACTTTAAAAAAAATATTTTTATGGAACTATAGCTAACATACAATACTATATTAGTTTCAGGTGTACACCAGTTGTTCAACATTTTATATGTAAAGAAGTGATCACCATGATAAGCCTAGCAACCTTCTGGCACCATACCACTCTATCACAATATTACTGACTGTATTTCCTGTGTTGTATATTATATTCCCAAGACTTACTTGTTTTAACCTGTAAATTTCCTCTTCATCTTTTCCCCCGTTTTAAAAAAAAATTTTCAATTACAATTGGTATTCAATATTATTTTATATTAGTTTTAGGTGTATAGCAGGGTGGTTAGATATGAAATATCCTTCTTACCTCTTCATAAAATTCTACTTATCCTCAGGAACCAGCATATGCATCACCTTTTTTTGCTGAGCTTTTCCTGAAAAGGTAGTACAGTACAGTGGCTATTGGTATAGGCACTAGTTTCTGATTAATGGAGAGACCTGACTTGATTTTTAATGGAAAGCTCTCTTCTTTGGACAAACTACTGAACTTCGATGTGCTTTATTTTTCTATCAATAAAATAGTGATAATATCAATTTGCTGAGTTGTTGGAAAGATTATTTCAATGAAATTATACATGTGAAGTACCTGACACATAGTGAGTTCTTTATAAATGACACCAGCTATTATCAATTCTAAGATGCATTTAAAAAAATTTTTAGTTTTGTACTCAAGATATATATTTAAAGTATTGTTTAATCACTTCCTCAAAGGTATTATTAAATTGAAAGTGCTCTTTTATTGTTGATGGCATCTTCGAATTAAGGAACTATCTTGGTGGCTGCCTTTCTTGGGCTCTTAGCATTTGTACATACCTGTTTTAGGATTTTGGATTTTACTTATGTAGCTGTTATTGTATATCATATTCATTTCCTCTTTTGTCTTGTGAACTTACCAAGGTTAAGGATCTCCTTTGTACTTGCAGTGTATAAACATTAGCACTTGGCACACTGTAGACTGTCAATAGATGTCGACTGAAAGAGTTTCCTTATTTTTTTCCCTACTAATATAGCATTAATTTGACAACTTTTAATACTCAAATACAGAGTCATTAGATTTGTATTTTGCTGTTCCTCAAGCCCACACTGATTTTTTGGGTAGTTTAACATAGTTAATATTTAAATTATAAAATAATTCTTGAACTTAAAAGTTAAGTACAAATGGAGATTCTGCTTTTATTTTGCAAGAACGTTTACTGAAGATGACCTTAGAGGAGAGACGCAAAGAATACGTAAGGGACTATGTTCCCCTGAACACCGTCCTATCATGGAAGGAGGAGGTGAAGGGCAAGAGCCAAAATGATGGTAAGTTTCTCAGAACACTTTTCAGGTAGATACTGTTGCCATTTTTTTATGACTTCTGTAGGACAATTTTTGAGAAAAATTAACTGTCAGTAAAGAGATGACAGTTTTGGTATTTGAAATAATTGCTTGGTTATTTGTTTTTAGCAATTTATTGTGTTATTTAAACTTAGAAACTTATATTAACATAAGTCGTGTTCTGAAATATATCACATTTATATTATGGTACTCTTTATAGATACTTTTTAAAAATGTTCACAGTAGTTCTTGGAGCAAATGATATTAGGGATTACTGCTTTGGTGGTGTGGCCCTTTGAGTTTGTTTTGATTAAGTTTATTTACATCAGTTTTTTTCATGTTTAAGAATTGGATACTGTTGAAAGACAGTGTATCAGGAAGAATAGAGAAAACCCAAACAATATTCCACGTAATTCTAGAGAAAAGTATATATTTTGTGTAGTGTGGTGTTATGTCTACATATAAATGATTTATATGACAAGTTTACATTCTCTCAAAGTCTTTATAATTTGATGACAGTCTAGATTATTTGAGGGAAGATATGTGTTAAAATGTAAATGAAAATTTAAGTATTACAAAGTTTCATGGAAAAAATTCTAAACAACATAATTGATTTAATGTATGTTTAATGTGCATATCTCTGAATTAACATTCATTGGTGTTAATGGTCTGGATGTGAAATTTAGAGGAAACGGGGTGCTTTTTAGGACACTTAACAGTTGGGTAAGAAGGGTAACTTTATGAAAGGGACTTGAAACATGCTGATTTCAAAGGTTGTGGTCTTTAATGGAACTATATAGTATGCTAATTCCCAGAACAAGAAGACTAGCATGAAATTCCTATGGTCAGAATCTGTGGGAAATATCACCCAAATTAAGCTTTGGTATCTGTGAAGAAAACACATTTAGCCTCAGAGTCTGAGCTTTAGACAGAATTTTGTTTATCTAGGAAGACAAATTATGTGGGTTCTTGTAGACCTTAGTCTGCCTGGAAACGTGTGACCTTGGGCAAGTGGGGTAGTGGGCCTACCCCATGTTCCAATGAGGTCATTGGACAAGCTGATTGGGATATATACGTCTGATCTGCTGGCCTTGTGTTTTCAGTAAATACAAGTTATTTTAATAATGGTCTAATTAAGACATTGAAAGAGTTGGTAGTGTTGTGTAATGAAAAGAATAGAGAGCTAGAGATCAAAAGGACAAAATTCTGGGCCTTGTCTGACCAAGGGCCATATGCTCCTTCATATTTGGGTTTTATTTATTGCTTTCGTTTATAAGACACTGATATTGACTATTCCAGCTCCATTTTCTTTTTTTTTTTTTTTTATGATAGTATTTCTCTTTTTCCAGTGCTACATTCTTATTTTATTTCTTGGTTGCAGTTTTAGCTGGTCACTTTCCTAAGGATGCAGTACATGATATTCATTTTTTTAAAAAAAATTTGCCTCCTGAGGTAGAGGTGGATTCCTGTTGCTGCCACAACAATCGACACAACAGTAGTGATACCCAGGCTGCATTGCCGAATGTTGGGTTGGCTCACATCTGCATAGAGGCTTGGCCTTTATGTTGGCTGCTTCTACTTGAATGTTCAGCATATAATAGTGTATTGTTGAACTAGGCTGTTAGACAACTCAGTGTTGGATGTTTTATAGATACTACACACCAAAATGTGTCCCCCAAATTAGAAAAGATACATTGAATGACGTCTGACATTGTCATTCCCTAACGAGAGCCTATGTATTTAATCCTGTCTCCCAATATGAACTTTATAAGTGGTTTACAACTGCTCTATGTATTTCAGTTTTTTCCTTGTGGCTTTTTGAACTTGATATGTCTTCGTGAGAAACTAGGGAATGTGATCAAAATTGTATTTCTATTAATGTTTTATTCTTTCCATCTAGAGTTACTTGGCTCCTCTCTGTTGTGATCTAGAAATTGGTAATGGTCCTCTTCTTTTTTCATGAAACAGAACAGCTCATTCTACAAGTAGTATCAATTAATTTATTTGCATAATATATATCTTTCATAAATGTTTTCTTCCAATGTTATCTATGCAGCCTTAATTACAATAATATATTGGTCAAGAGAATTTTAGTATTTTAGCAGTTTGAAAGATCTTTTAAAAATATAAATTAAAAAATCATAAAGGACAACTATAAATATAGATATATTTGTATATTTTATTTTGTAATGTTTAAGCTTATGAACTACTTATAAATGTATATGTGTATAAGTAAATATTGATATTTATAATAGTTTTAATTTTTTAAGTATGAGATTTCAAACTAGGTTTTAAAAAAGATAATTTATAATTCTTTGTCACATAGTTTCTGATATGTAGGAAATGCACAGTATTAATTGGACTAGCACAATATACCATAAATACTTTAGTTTATTATTATCTTTATTTTTATAGAAGGCCATTTTGACCTTGATATCTATGATTACATGGACAATTCTCAAGCTATTGTTTTTAAATGTTTTTCTTTTCTCAGTTTTCTTTTATTTTAATTAAATTCTGCTTGTTATTATAATTGTAGTAGAAAATTTAAAAGGAGGGGAGTGGCCGAATGTGTTTTTCATAATTTTGATTTTAAATTGACCTAACAACAGGAAACCCAAAATTGCCAAACAATAAAAAATCAGTGTTTCTATTGAAAGGAGGAAGCCAGTAGATAATATTTTTATTTTGATTTACTACTTTGGTAGGATTAGAAAGCTATGGATCACAAGAGGAAAAACATGGTAGACGATTACCAAGACAAAAATCCATTTGCTTATTGTTCATGTTCATATTTATCAATTACTGTTAGTAAATCTCTAGAATTATATGCTTCTAATTACTGCTTCCTCTGTATTAATAATTATGTAATAATTATATTTCATTTGTCACTTGCTCTGTTGTAGGGAATTTAAAAATATTTGTCTTTCTTGTTATACTGTGTCTCTAGTACCTGGAATTGTGCCTCGTGTAGGTGGGCTCAATCAGTATGTTATATAAGAATGCCTCAGAGGTTAATAGTCTACAAAGGACAGTTCTTTCTTTTTTTTTTTTTTTAAATTTTTATTGGGGAATTGGGGGGATGGGAACAGTGCTGGGGAATTGGGGAAGGGGAACATCAAGTTGCTGTCCTTTTGTTCTTCAGTCTAGTTGTGGAGGACGTTGCTTCTCTGGCCCAAGTTGGCACCATCATTGCGCTCTTCCCGGG